TGCTCCTATAAGTCATTATTTTCATTTTTTGGGGGGGTGTCCCACTTCCGAGGCCACGTCTAATTTGCAGCATTCATAATATTGATACATGGGGCCCCAGCGATTTTTCTCACTTTCAACAGGCCACGTTGTATATCAATGACACACATTGCGTGCATTAATAGCACGCAAGTCATAAGTATAGATTCAAGAAAATGTTTAATCACCAACAAGCGAAACGTACATTCTTAATACTGTTTCTCGTCACTCAGAAATCAACCATCACGCACTAGAATTCAGACTCTAATGCCTTTGTGTAACATATATTTTTTGCGCAGTTAAGATTTGTTATCAATAAAACATAAGAGCCTTGTTTTCGTTCACTAATTTCAAGACGATTCGAAAATATGCAAGCGTAGATGTTTGTATATTAAACGCATAGCCTCACGAGAAAGACATTACGAGTATGTGCATCAGAATGATGCGTTTGGCGCTGGAGGTGAATTCTGCACATTTGTATTCGTAGGCTTCCGCGGCCGGAGTCATTGGATACTTGGGCTGTCCGAGGTGAGCCGCGTCTCTGTCGATCGAGCTGACGTTTCGGCCATCGTGTTGTGGCCTTCTTCACAGTATCAGGCCTTCTGCAGTTCAACAGCATAGCTCTTAAAATTTCGAAATTCGCCAACATTTTCGGACAATTTTTTGTTTCTGCAGAGAACTTGGACAATTCTCGCAAGCCGAATGGCGCGCAGGCGCCGAGGTTGGCTTTGCAGAGGGTTGTTTCCTCAAGGTCAAATGACATTCAATGGGAGCATACTATTCCCAGTACACTCAATGAGTTTCTTATAGTAAAAGGTCCATTTTATGTAAGGTGTTTTATTTCCTTTCCAATGAAAGGTGTTCCTGTTTTCATTATGAATATCCTCAATATGCATAATTATTAAATATTAAAAACGTATATCAAACAACTACTGTAACACTTTATATTTGTATTATGTAAAGAACAGATTTAGGAGTTGTTTTGTGAATTAAATTTACATGTCATGGCCTCATTTTTGTTTTTTATAAGCGAAAATTACCGTTCTTTAATTTGTGCCTATTTGTGTCGATAAATCAATTTTCTCATTCTAAAATTCCAAAAGACTTAGTGCAACTTTACCGCACTTTTCCAGTTCGCGTGTGATTACACAACTTACCTGTTTCTGAATAAACGAAATAAGAGCTCTCAAATTCGTATGGAAAGAGTTACAGGGGAGGTAACTCATGTTGGATGGAAGATAAGCGGTTGCGGCAAGGTTTATCACGACGAAATGTATTTCTTACAAAAATGAACAACAAATAAAACTAAAGTTCGGAAAACCTTGAACTAGTAGTTTAGACTATGCATAGCTAATATTAGTGTTATTATATGCTAGGAGGGGCTTCTGGTTCTTCCCGCCTTACCCTCGAAGGAAATGACCTTGGAAGCCTCTGCCGCTTGCAGAGAACAGTGTTGAAATCACAAGCGAGCGCGCTGGGTAACATCTGCTTGGCAGGATTGGCCATTTTTACATCTGTGAAAGCATAGGGCCCATTTGCAAACTCAGGATGTTTTTTAATTGACGTGCAGTGTGTATCGGCACCCAAAAGTGTGTGAGATTAATACGGCATGTGCTTCCCTTAAAAAGAAGGATTAGGTCAGATTTCGATACGTCACATCGAGATTCCTCTGTGAGACGCAGACAGCCAAGTTTCTGCGTATTTGTCCTCGACCATTCCGCTCCCGGTGTCCCAAGCGACAGCCAACTGTCGTGCCGGCCGCGTCGCGAACCCCGTACGCTCTGCTAAAAATAGAGGTTCGGAAGCTGTCGGTCGCTTTATGGCTGCATGTTCTCCGTGCGGCAACGGGACTGCCTCGGCGGTCATGCAATCGTTGCCGAGCGGTTTATTTCGTTCTACTTTTACAAACGGCGGAAAGCAGCGCGCCCGGTTAAATACTTCAAAACAATTCCCCGACTTCCTCATGCGCTTTGCGTGCCGGCTCCCGCGGACCCGTTCCGCTGCACGTGACCCGGTCCTCGCAGGTTCCTCTGAATCGTGAACGCTCAGGCCGGAGGGAGGTGTTGCAAGTTTGATGCGACCCGCTAGAATTCGATTTGGCGCGGGACGTGCAACTTGCTTTATCAAAATCTATGTTCGAAAGAGGGTCGGACCGCATGTGTCCGTGGGCTCTGATGGAGAGTCAAGGTTACTGAACATGGTTCCCTCAATAAATGATTTCTGGAAGACAAGTTTTTTTTTATTAAGAACTCTGATACAGTTTAGATACATTTTAAAGAATTATTTATGATAATAAGATGTATTGTTGTTAGCTCAGCAATTTAGTAATGACACATTTTTTGCAAAGCAATATTTTCATCACGATTTTTAGGCGAAAAATGTGGAATATGAGAGCAATTTTTAGTTTGTTGAACTTCACTATTTCATAATATGAGTATATACATTTAAACATGTATAGATACAAAAATGATGTCATGTTGAGTATATGTTAATATTTACGTTTAATCCATTCTAATTTCCAAATTCAAATATACCGTCACTATTTCATTCCAATTATCAACTAACCAAATTATCAACACCTTTAACATTTACGATGTCGATGTGCTCGGAATGTCATATAGACAAAACCTTTTTTGACGATATAAATGTCTACTGTTCATTGTCTCATCCTTTGACCCATTAACAAATTGACTTCCTTGTAGCATCCAAAAAGGTGGGACAGGAGAAGCAGGCATAATTGCTTGCCTAACCAATAAACGTTTGACCATGTTGCTTAACAATAGCAGTAACGGTAATAATAACTACGTCAATAATCAGCTGAAAATAATACTTTACTACTGGTTACGGTGCCATACGATAACCAGGCAACACGTATCCCTTGGTTGAGCAGCCGCTTTACTATCTGAGATTTACCTGGTCTGCTTTCCCGGTAGTGCAATTGGCTGTGACTGGCTCCCCACCCGAACGTTGATTATTTCACCCAGGAGGCGTAGAGCAACGCCCTCTGTATTCTGTCGCTCTTTAAACTTTCCAAAGCCGCGCGACCTCCATCGCCCGCCCGTTCACTCGCCGCACCCACCGCGCCAAGCTTCAAACGCTCGTGACGTCAGCGTGGCCGCCAGCTCCGCTGCTGCCTCCGCCGTATTTTTAGGTTGCGGTGTCGTAATTCTGTTGGCAGCACTGGTTTTAATAGACACCGTCCGGCGTTTTGCCTGGAGTCTGTGTGTGGCTCACCGCAGTTCGCGCACGGCTGTTCACGTGAAAGTCGCACGAGTTGAAGGCTATAGCGGCACGACCTCGGTTTAAGTGTGTTGGGTTGCCCTGAGGAAGCGAACATTTTTATACTATCTGTTCAGACACGTTATATTTCTCTTTGAATACTTTTTTATTCTGGAAGAGCTTTTGGAATTTTTCGTTCAATACATAATGTACTCACTCATTCATAGTCCATGTGCGAAAATACTCAAACCCACCCACCTACCCTCATTCACACAAGTGTCTTAAGAAAATAATAATAATAATAATAATAATAATAATAATAATAATAATAATAATAATAATAATAATAAACGCAATTACGTGACGTGAAGATTCCAGTAATTATAAGCAACTTGAGGATCGTGAGGTATCAGTGCTTATGAGCTAACAGCCAAAATTGTTAAATTGTTTATCTGATTTCTTTGGCCTTATAATAGTTAAACAGAAAATCAAGAAATAAACATGAAATCAGACATTCACTCGCACAGGAGATCTAGATTCACTTGTAAATGCATTGAAATATGTCGAGTTAAGGCACAAATGAAATTTAACTTTCCATAAATATTTGTTGAAAACGCAGTCCATTCATCGAAAGTGGTATTTCCAAGTGCAAGTACTAAAAGTATTGTCTAATGGAAGAACGTAAACAAATATTTCTGATGAAAAAGCAAAGCATTTTAATTTGAGCAGAGAATTCCTCGCAGCAGAGAATATTCAAGTCAGCTGTGAAGCACAGTTGATGCGATACTCGCTACGTTATCATTGCAATTACGAAAATAAACCATGTCTAATATTTTGCACGTGTTGACTAGGTAACGTAACATAAATTAATAACCACGTTGACTGCTTTTACTTATCTACAGCAATACAGTCTAATCATTTAATATAAATCAACTCGCATTACTGCTGTGTCATACAGTAATTTATCGCAGTTTACAGTGAGATATTTTCGAAATAATTTATTGCTCCCTTTGGTAATATTTTCTACACAATCCCAAAGGAGTTTCCAGATAAACAAAAACACAACAACAGTTATTTATGGAAAAACATCAATGATTAATCTCTCAATAATAATAATAATAATAATAATAATAATAATAATAATAATAATTTACACACAAGCTTATAACGTAATTAAAATAGTACGTGATTGGTACACGTAACAATGAATATGATATGGATTTCCCCAATCACATACACACACACACACACACACATACATACACGTCAGACGCATGATTTACCAGTATTAGTCTTGGTTAACCAATATTGAATGTTCAAGTCAGGATATCTACAAAGATTTAGAGAAGTAGTACTTGATGGATTATCTGTTTTTACCAATGATCTGTATATTTGTACAAGTTCTTGGTTCTTTCTCATTGACTCGCCTTTGAATACTTACTCCCAAAACTACTCTTACTATTAATATTTAGTTGAATAAGGTATAATAAATAAATCAAAAGTTCGTTGTAACACCGCATTTCCATATTAACTTCTTTCATTCTCGTGTGATTTGCCTAATTGCTGTTTTCGGCGTCACTTTAGTCGTCCATCGTATGTATCACGCGTGCCGAAGCTCCCACCTGATCGCCGCAGCCGGTGCTTCCTGCGGCGAGGCGGGCGAGGCTTGGCTGAGGGCGTCCACGCCCGGGCCCGGCACGGTGCGGGGAGGGGGGCGGGCGGGGCCGGCGCCAGCCGGTGCCAGGTGAGAGCGGGTTCTGCGCATGCGCGGGCGCGGCGCCGAGCGCGCGCTGGCCGCCCGCAGTCGTGGCGGCTCGCGCCGAGTGCAGCAGTGCGCAGGTGCGGTGGGTTTAGCGGCCGTGGTCCTCTCGCCCTGCGACTCGCAGACGCTCGCTCGACAGCGGTCGGCGTCGTTGCGTGTGCTGGTGCTGGTGGTGTGTGTTTGTGCGAGTGTGTTTCGCTGTGCGAGGAGCTCCTCGTCGTCCATGAGGCAGTGTGCGACAGCTGGTGTTGAACGCTGAAAACTCAAAGCTGGAAGCGACCGCGGCCGGCGCTGTGGCAGACGTTCGGGCCGAGACAGGTAAGCGGGCCGCGAGGTGCCTGCAGGCATCCGGTTTGCTTTGGGGGCGCGCTTGGGTTCGGAGCTGTGTGACGCTGCAGGTTTTTCGTGGGTTTCCTGCGACAGTGGTTCCTTACAGCTGCTCACCGGTAGATGGGAGTTCGCAAATGTGTGTTTTAACAGCATATGTTTGATGTTTCGAGAGGGTTCTGCGTCTTTTTGTCGTGTTGAAACTGGTATTTTGTGTCTTTTGTTTATTAATGGTGTTTCGACATTGGATATTTCAATGCAGGTAGAATAATTGAAGTTCGTATGACAGTTGTCAAATATAGAAATACACTTTTAGCCTAGTTGCATGCGATTCGGAAGTTTGTTCATAAACATGTTTGAGAGGTTAGAAACATTTCGTCGCTAGAAGAATTTCGTGGCTAGTTGTTTACACCAAGAAGTAGAATACAAACTTACATCACCTAGAGAGATTGAGACGTGCAGTGTCAATTCGCAGACTCAAAGAAATTGTGTATATTGCTCGTTTACAAGTAAACATATGCGACTTTCGTGCATCAGATGTGAATATCAATGATATTGAAATTATTCCTATTTATACACAACCTTCGCCCATGAATTAATATTTAAATGGAAGCTCAGGTGTAGTATTTCAGCATTTAAATCCTTTCCAATTCTCAGGGGTCGGCTTTCACTTGAGCTTACAGAACAAGTATCCATATTTTTCTGTTACTAATCACTTCCAAATATTCATTAAAATCGTCTGTTTGACCACCACCTGCAGTAATGCAAGCTCAAAGGGATAACAATATAAATATAGAGTAAAATAGGTTATATTTTATGTAATGTTTTATCGCCGTGATGAGTCAGCGTTGGGTTTATTTTCGTTGAACCATGCGATTTCGCGGGAAGGAATATCAAAGCATCCCGTGTTGCATGTCACATCAATATTTTTAGTTAGTTTTCCTCTGTAAATAGTACTGAAATGAGTTATCGCTTGTTACGGGTCATAACCATCAATGTACTCCTAGTTTAGGCGTACGAACTCGGATGTCAGTGAAAATAGGATGGGATCAAATAAACAATAATGCTTGTTATGCTAGCATAGTTATCAGGCATATGCTATATCAAAACAGTATTATTTCAGTACAAATATTCCGATCTGTCGACTCTTTTTGTCAAAAGGAAGTTTTATTGTAATAGTGACAGAAATATTCGTATGCAACCGTAATCTAATATCTGCGAATCTTTGTGTGTTGAGTCGAGTGTGTTGTTGGCAAGGCGTACCGTCTAAAACGAGATGGGTTCTACTACGTTTCTGGGACTCCCTGGGCTCCACTTTCCATTGAATAGTTTTATTTACATGTATTTGTTTAGTAATACTAAAGAAAAATCCACGTAGAACAATATTAGTTTATATTTGTTTCAATTAAAAATTGCAACGTATTTTCCTTTGCAGTTTGCTTTCAACTGCTGAAAATTGTTTAAATTACAGTTACACCGCGTATATTTGGCTCAAAAATTATTACTTCGGATTTAAGAATATAAAAATCGTATAAAAACGATCACACACTCAATCAAAACAATAAAATTATTAAAAAATATAATAAATATAATAGCACGAAAACATTAGAGAACGCAATCCCGATAAAATTCTAAATTTAATGAAAACGTTTGCAATTAACAGAAAACAATCTATTTTATGTTGAACCACCAGTGTTGCCAGATTGTTTGGTTAGCTTCTTTTCTAAATGTTGTGGGAAATCAAGAATCCCAAGAAGAGGGAAATCGGGAATTGATCATTTATAGGATAAGAAAATGTTTTATTACGTAGTGCTACAGAATCTCTTTCGAAATACTCTCGGGAGCCACGCCCCCTGCCCCACTGTTCGCACGCATCCTATAGGTGATTTACTGTTCAACGGAAATTTTTTGAAGACAACGCTTTATATTTCACGGACAAAGTTTTCCTATGAACATTTTCGGCCTATCTAAATTATTAGATCTTTGTAGATCATGGAGATAAATAATTTTGGCCGAAGAAAGTGGGTTTCATAATGTCAGTCTTCAATAAACAATTACATTCACTTCGCTTTTGAAACAGGTATTTTGCAATTAGTCATGTGAAACAAGCCTTTTTTTATGGCGGTTGCGTGCAATGATCGTGAATATGCTGTCGCGGATTCTTTTACCCACATACAGAATTTTATACAATAAATTTCTTGTGCAATAAATGTCTTAAACGTGAAGGCGGCATGCACCGAGTGACTGCTGACTGAATTCCGAGTGGTGGGGGATGAGTACCTTGGTCTTCAGAGTGCTAATCTTTCGGTCCTCGCAGTACCCGCAGCACATCGGTCGTCGGGTAAGAGAAGCAAGGGGGCGTTCGTCGCGCACCTCGACGCATCTCGCTTGGCACTCGCAGACAATCGCGTGTGTGACGCCACCTTGAACAAGGCAGGGGTGGATACACTGTGGTGGAGCAGCTTCTCTTGGTTCTTGTACACGCAGATTTTATTTTGCGATGTTTTATATTAGCACCGTCGCTTCGGATAGCCGAGATCGCTAAGGCAGTAAGTGCCGTGGCTATCTCTGATGGAACGAGCACGGGTTCGAATCCCGCCTCGGGCTTGGATGTATTTGATCGTTCATTTACCCTTCATTGTCGTCCTATCACTTCATTAAAAAAGTATTAGTAATTTCCTACGCGAGCAGGAGGCCCTTGCCCTTAATGGAATCTGTAGTTGGCTAATAAAAAAAATTAGTACCAGCTGCTGCGTATCCAAGATGTTTGTAGGGGAAGCTACACATGGTGGACTGACCAACCGGCTTTATTTTTTTCGTAAGCAGAATTTTTCAATTATGCTGAATTTAAAAATGTATTTTTATTTGTTGATATATAGATACAACGTATCGTATTCATTTGATATATATAGAATGATTTTCATTATGCAGAAAAATCGGTAAAAAATTATATTTGTGAAGTGTCTTCGGCTTCGGGGGAGGGGGCTTAAGCCGCACGACCCCCTCACCCTGCCATTAGATATGCGCACGCGTGCGTGCGCGTGTGTGTGTAAGCGTGCGCGCGCGTGCGTACGCATGTGTGTGTGCATACGCAAGTGTGTGTGTGCGCGCGTGTGCTTGCATGTGTGTAAGCGTGTGTGCGTGTGTGTGTGTGTGTATAGAGCGCTGGATTCTGTAGCGCGGTCAGACGCTGACCAGCAGTCGCGCGTTGGCGTCTCGGAAGAACCGCTAGCGCTGGCCGTCGCGTTGGTCGCGTCGCAGCCAGGGCGACGTAGCGGTTCCCGCCCGCGCTGCGTGGGCGCCATCGCCTCCGCTGCCCCGCATTCGCCCCCCCC